CATACTAAGTAATATATATATATATATATATATATATATATATGATAAGAGAGAAATTTCTGTTAATACAATAAACTCTAAGACCTGGATGTGTCAATTTGATGCACCTGTTATACCATATTTTCCTGAATTGCAATAAAAAATAATAATTTGAAATTTCAGAATTACTTTTTACAGGTTATTTTGCTTAAGTAAATAAAATATTTTATTTTTATATGTGATATTTGTAAAAATTTGCATCTTTGAAATTTTGGAAATATTTCATTGATATATTTTGTTCATAAACAAGTAGAAATGCTTACCTTTGTTGAAGATTTTAATTACTCATTTCTATGTCTTCTTTTAAAACTTTCCAATAAGATTTTGTCTTTGTTTTGATTCAAAAACAAAGCATGCACTTTCACTGTGTTTTTAATAATTGGGGGTCAATGGTGTACAATAAAAACACTACAAAAATAAACTTAGAATTTACTAGCTGTGACACTTAATGTTAAAGTTAATTACATTATTTTTCTATTGGAAGAGTTCTGTGTGGACGAATAACATAATAACTAGCACATTTTATCTACAGTACTAAGGTTGAAGAGTAACGAGTTGTATAAAGGGACTAAATTCCTACTAATGTTAATATTCTGTGAAATATTCATCATAGAAAAGTACTTCTAATTCTTTAGTATATTTTTATGACTTACAGCATCACTACAACAACATGCATGTCTTAACAATTAAATACCAGCAAGATTCAATTACAGAGCCAATTTCAATTATATTTGAAAGAATGTAATAAATATGTAATGATATGTACTCTGTATGTTATCAACAGAGATAAAGATAATTTGTCAATCTCTGACAAATGCGCATGCAAGTACAATAATAAGGTGTGGTATTTGAATATATCATTAGTTTTTACCTTCTTGTAGCATTAGATTTTTATTCTGAATCTATTCTTTGTTCTGAATATGTGCAAATTTCACATAACATGTGGTCGAGAAAACTATTAAACTGTTTGTTTGTTTTGTTGTCAAGCATAAAGCTACACAATGAGCTATCTGTGCTTTAATGTTTAATACAACATTGTGTAGAAATGTCAACAGTAGTGTTCTTCAATGGTTGTTCATGTGATATCTACAGGTTACAGCCCCAACTATGTTGTAATGAGAGTGACCAATCATGTGGCTAGCATATTTTATTCTGGGTAAATGTAAAGTTTATTTGAAACTAGGAAAGCTGGTATTTAGTTAGCCTTAAACTTCTCCTTCAACTAGTCAGTTAAGTATAGAACTTCCAGGAGAAGCCACCTAGAGCGATCATTTAAGGTAACTGCTCTTCAAGTACATGCACCACATTTAGTGTATTACTTTTATCGAGTGTCATTATTTCACTTTACCTTGACTCAGGTAAGTTTTAATTACATTTCATTATCAATATTTTGACTGAATGTCCTGTTATCTAGTGAAACTATCCAATAGCTTAAACATATTTTCAGTTCACCTCAATATGCCACAAGAACTAAAACACATCTGGAAAAGCTTAGCTTACATAACCAATTAGCAAGTTTCCCAGTGAAAATCTTTGGCTTTAAGTAACATATTATGGTATCTTTTATTCCTAATAAGATAAAAATTTTGGAAAACTCAACACTGCCTGATGATGCCCTATGATTAAATATCATACATAAAAAATTATAAATTCAGACTGAACAGTAATTTACAATATATTTAAAAGGAGGAGGATTTTAACAAACTGAGGTGTAAGATCAGAAAAGTGTCTGTAATAATAATAGTAAAACAAGCAATACTTACTATGCTCTTCATTAAAGTATGACACTACTGGAGTATGTTCAAAATTGGGATTATTTAATGTGTTCTCATGGGTAGATGCTTTCTCTGTTTTAGATTGACAATCTGTTCTTAAAGTTCGATAGTGATCAGTAGCTGAGTGACGTTTGGAAACTACACAAACCACAGATATTTCAGGCTCATTTTCTGTATGAATGTTATCTTCCAATGAGAGCGGAGAGTTACTTGAAAAGATACTCAAATCCTTTGAGGGAGAAACATCTGTCTCAAAACTGGGAGAGTTACAGGTTCCACTGGTTAATATTTGAGGGCTGGGGCAGTAGCTAGGTTCTTCTGGCTCCAAGGACTTTGAATATGCAATACCTAGATCCTCTTCAACTTCACTATTCAATGAAAAACTGGCAATTTCTGTACTAGTTGCACTGATCTGAGACTCAGTGACAGCCACATGTGTTGATAAAACTGATGAATTGTTTGAAATTATGTTGTCAACTGTTTGGTTTCTTTTATCAGCTATGAATGCTTCCTGAAAGTTATTTTCCTTGTGTTTGTGTTCAGCATATTCTTGCATTCCTTCAGCAACAGCTTTTTCATTAACTTTTTCAAATATTTTTGCTTGAATTGTTTCCTTTTCTGGTATAGAAGTTTGTTGGGATATACTAACTTTAGTTTTTCTTGTGGCAGTGCACAAATGATCATTATGTACTGACTGTTTATTAAGATGACTCTCAACATAACTTTCCTGAAAATTTTTCTTTTGTTCATTAACAGAATTTTTTACTTCTTGCTGACCTATCTGATGTTTGATTTTCTTTTCTCTGCAAGTGTAAAGAGGAGAAGAACATGCAGCCAAAATGGCTCTTGCATTGAGCTTAGCTATACGTTTACAGGTTTTAGTATTAAAGACTTGTCCTTCTACCTGTACAGTATTCCGTTTCTTACACTTCAATGAGGTTTCCGAGATCCTTGGATTATTTCTTTGTTTGATTTTGTTTTTAAATCTGAATGCTGTTTGCATTTTTTTAATGTTACTTTCATTTTTCTTCTCTAAATCTCTTTTCTCTTTATACAAGTAATGATCAGTTGTTTTGGAACTATCATTTTCATAAAGAACATGAACTTTTGCCAAGGCATTTAGACTAGCCACTCTTTTAAAACGTGGTTTGTCGAGGTTTTGATCTTGTAAACTTTCAAAATTTGTGTTTTTTTTTAACCCATACATATGGCTTACTACTTTGGAAAACTTGTCAAGTGATAATTTTTTCTTCATTTCCAGTTTCTCATAACTATTAACATTAGATGCTTTTTCAATCAAATTTCTTCTAGTTCTACTAGTTTCTGCTATTATTAATTTTGTTTCATGTCATAATTTAATTGATTACCAATGCAACAACTGTTTTCTAACATTTTCAGTTTTTATTTAAAAACTCTGACTTATGTATGAGTAGAGGCAAATTGCTAAAGCTGCTTCACTAAAACCTGTATAGCAGGTTTATTCAGGCTGAATCATGTTCTCGTTTTTTCTTTAATATGTGCCAGAATTTGTTTCTTCAATACTTTCTTTTTTCCTAATTCTTGTATAAAAACTTTTACATGGGAAACTTGATCACTTCTTTCAAATTCTAAGGACTTCTAGTCATCTTTTATTTTCACATATAATCTTGACTTTAAACTCATGCCCACTTGTAAAAACTGCTTATAGTATATGATCTTCAAGATATCCTTATTTAGGAGTATGTTTTCTTCTTCGTTATTTCTGAATGCAAAAGTATTATAATTTATTAGTTTTTTTTCTTACTACAATGAGAAACATATTCGCAAAATAAAATTTTTAATGAAATATAAATGTTAAGTCATTTAACAACCATTTATTTAAAAAACAAAATATTAATGAAGATGTAACCAAAAACTCAATTTATGATTTATTTTCTTATCCAACTTCTCATGGATATTGTTTCCTAATTTCACACAAAGTATTATTCTACTTTGAATCCACAACTAAGTACCATACTGATTATATTAAGAAAATGTTTGGAAAAATTTTACAACTAACATTCTACAGGCAGGATAATTAAAAAGAAGGATGTTGCAAAGGAATTTAAAAATACTGTTCCTTCACTGACTGATGTTTCAAAATACTTGCACTATGGATAATATATATTAACAATTAATCAACCTTGTTAATATAATCTAGAACTGTTCACACCTGCTAATATATTATTGCAATACAAACTGATTTAAAGCAGTACATAAATGCAGTTCTCACAGTGTACACTGAAGTTATGCATACATAATAAAACAGACGATGTGCCACTTTGGATAAAATTTTGTACAAATTCTGTACAAAGAAAGTATGTAATCAAATCTATAGGAAAAACATTTTAGTTATCCCAACATGAAAATCTATAAAATCTTCAAGAAAGCATAATGCAAAATTAAATCAACACATGGCTCAAGTTAAAATGGAAGATTGAAAATAACGGGAATTACTGAAACTTGGTTAGATTTGGATAAACTGGTGATAGGAATTATTTACAAATAATTTTATTTTTAAAAGAGAAGATGAGGCAACTATATATATATCTATGGGATTAACAGTATTTTGTTAGAAACGAAGACAAAAAATGGTAGTCAAGAGGTTGAACCTTTATAGGATACAATCGGAGGTTTCAAGGAGAGAAAGTTTTTAATTGGCTATTGTTATAGGCCACCTGAAAAGACAAATGATGTAAATGAGAAATTGTATAGTGAGATCAAGGTGTTACTAATAAAGATACTGATGCAATAATTATAGGAGATTAACTTTGGATACAATGATTATGATTGTGTGGAGTCACAGAGTCAACCAGAGGGGATGCAAGTTTGTTATTAACTTGCAAGAGCTGAAGTGTGGGAAACATTTGGAGGAAGAGTGATCATTGCATATCTAACTTCGATGTTTTGCTTCATTTTGAGATAACAGAAATGAAATTTTAGTTCCTACTTTTTAAAAACCTAATTTTAAGATTTATCATTAGTCAATTGGAAAGATGTGTTAATGGGTGATGTAGGAGAGATTTAAGAAATGTTTAAAAATAAGTTGTTATTAATTAAACAAGGCATTTCCCTAAAATGAGGAAAAGGATAATTGGGAAGATTAAACCTAATTGACTTACTGAAGACAAAGAAAAAATTCTGGGGTAAAATTTAAATTTACAGATATGTTAGAAGATTACAGAATTGTGTAAAAGCTAGCTAGATATTTGGTTTTTTAAAAAAAAGGGAATTAGGAAGTTCAAAAGAGCTTATTAGAAATTGCTGGTTGATAATATTCAAACTAACAGCAAGGATGTTTGTAAATAGGTTAAAAGTAAAAAAAAAAGAAGTTAAAATGAAGATCGGGCCCTCAAAGGATTTTGATGACAAGGTTTTTTTTGTCAGAAACTATGAGGTGGCTGAACTTTAAAACATTTTCTTCTTTTCTGCTTTTATAAGAGAAAAAAAAGATATTAGCAATATTGCTAACCCTTAGTATTCTATGGGAAGTACTGGAATTCATACAAATCACATAGATATTAATCCCTGGTGGTAAATAGAATGATTTAAATTAAAAATAGATGAAGCACCAAAGCTTTTCTTTAGGATTTTAAAGGATGTCAAAGAAAAATATTCAAGCTTCTCTCTTTAATTTTTGGTAGGTCAATAGACAGTTGTCAGATCCCCGAGGATTGGAGGGTTGCTAATGTTACTCCTTATTTTTAAAGGGGATGATAAATTTCCTTTAAAATTATAGACCAATTAGTCATACTTTCATAGTGGAAAAAATGCAGGAGTTTTGTAAAATTCATCTTGTTAAATATAATATCATAAAAATAAATCAACATGAATTCACTAAAGGGAAATCTTCTCTTACTAATCCAAGGGTTTTCTTTCTATAGGGTAGGGGGAACTTCTCCATAAACACAATCCTAGATTTTTGCAACTTTTATGGGTTTGTTTCTAATGATAACATTTGGTGTGAAAAAGTTAAGTATCCTTAAAACTATATCACTTTAGATCCCTATAATGGAGTTGCACCAGCACTTAAATGCCCAGTGCCACATCAGCCACCTAAAAAAAATCCATCTTCTCACACAAAATTCTGAGAGAAAACCTCTACTTATATAGTAACTCTTTTTGAGAATGTTGTATTACAAGGATGATGGAAAGGGTACTTATATGTAGATTTTTGAAAACTTTTGATAAAGTGCTAAAATATTAGCTAAGAAAATCACATTGCTGAGGGTTGGAGAAACATTAATTAATTAATTGGATTGCAGGATGGTTATATGAGAGAAATCAAAAAGTTATTATTAATGAAGTTTAGTCTAACTGGACCCTTGTTACTAGTGGTCAGTGCTTGGGATTTATTTGCATTAATGATGTTGATATGGGAATAGTTAGTAAAGTATGTAGATACGATTAAACTCTTGAGTATTTTCAGCTGTACTGATGATGTTCAGATACTAAAGAATGATTTGAATGAATTGGTTTGTTGGACAATTAGTTACCAAATTAAATTATGTTTACTTATAATAAGTGCAAAATAATGCCTTTTGCTTATGACAATTTGGAACACAAGTTTAATATAGGTGGTAACCCATTCAATAATGTATCTGAGGAAAACAATTTGTTAAGTGTTGGATAAGTCACTAAAGCCATCAAGGTAGTACCCTGTTGCTGGAAGCAAAACTAACAGAATTTTAAGACATATTTTTAGACATTGTTTACAAGCCAGACAAATGTAATTATCTCTTTATACAAAGCACTAATTAGGTCTCATTTGGAATACTGTGTATAGTTTTGGTCTTCCTATCTAAGAAAGGATACTGACTTAATGGAAAGGGTTGGTTCAGAGAAGGACTACTAGGATGAATCTGGAGATGGAAGGGCTATTTTGTGAGGGATAGGTTAAGATCTCAACTTATTCTCTCTTAAGAAAAGGGCAAGATAGGATAATATTGAAGTTTAGAAGATTATTTGTAAGATCAGAAGGCCTATATATTAGATTATACCAGAGGAAAAGAGAATAGAAACTTATGATTTGAAAAAGACAGTTTAACTTTTCTAACAGGGTGACTGGCTTATATAATGAGTCGGTGTCAACAGTAGTGTACACTGGCAGTTTACAAGTTTAAAATGGGAATCAATAATTTCCTGCAGAATAAAAGGTGGGATTAAGGTTTTACTTTTTCTCAAGAATGGGTGTGCATAACAGTCTCGAAGGACCAAATGGTGCCTTGTTGTCTGTATGCTAAGCAAAATCAAATTATACTGTTTTCTAGATCACATTATATGGTGTACATATATTTTTGTTGATAAAATGTACAGACCAATGTGTTTTAAGGTTCAACTGAAATGCATGACAGCTTAATTGTTACATTAAATGAGCAATGTTATTTTCAGTAAACAGTGGAATAACTTACTATCACGTGCATTAATATATTGTATATTGAGTTCTTTCCAGATTTTGCTGGATACATTTACTTAAAAAACAAAAAGTAGTTTTATTTCAGTTTTAAGTGGTGGAAATATTTTGGTGTCTGTTGAGAGAGTTAGATGATCTTTGAAGCTATTATCAAATGGCTTAGTCATAGTCAAACTAAAACTGATTAAGATGCCAAATAGTTGTCAAATCCCAATATAATCTAAAAATTATGCAGAATTTGTTACTAAATTATGCCACAGAGTTAGTTAGTGTTAAATTACTATCAAGCTACACAACTGCTTACATTTACAAGTTATGTAAAAGCTAAAATACACACTTTAAAGAAAATTTAAAAAAATTGGCACCATTCTTCAAGTCATTATAAATGAATAAAATAGTGCAAATAATAATAATAATAATGAGCCCAAAACATATTATAGAAATATACAACTATACAACATACCGTGACTTGGGGGTCAAAGCCGTAATCTAAACATCCACTAACTTTACTTAAGTACAATAATTTGTGCTTTTCATTCAGTTTTTGATAAGTCAGCCAGATCTTTACTTATTCTTTACCTCAATGATGTCAGAAAAACATGTAGGTTAAACAAGTCTTGATACAAAATGATAAAAACCCTATAACTCGAGCACTCCCATAACATATAACATTCCCAGTTTGCCCCTGAAAAAGAAGGTCCACCTTATGAATACGCACTCGGATTAAAGGGTTCTTATCATTTTGATACTTTATATTGTTCATTATTTTGACTTCATAACAGGTATGTCTTATTATTATCATTCCTGATGATAATATACCTTAAAATATGTACAATGGATAAAACTATGTCCTGGAAAATTGATGCAATATCATTAAATAGATCAAACCTAAGGTCATCAATTGGCAATTTTTTTTTCTCAAATATATGTTAACTAATAGGCAAAATATAAAAAAAATAATGAAGAATTTAATATTATTAATTTTCTGAAACTGGCTTACATGCACTTTTGAAAATACCCATAAATTTAAAACAGAAAAACAAGCAATGTAACAGAATATATAGTGTTTCTTCTGATAATCATAACACTCAATAATTCAGTCTTGTTTAAATACTAAGTATGCACAGTCTCTCTTAATGATTTTCAACATTTTGATCATATCAGCTCTGATGAATTTCAAATAAAATGAAAAAATTAAAGTACCAATTTTTAATTATTTTATTTCATGCCTTAATGCTATTTATGACACAAATGAATACAGCAATCCTTCCCTATATCCTTTCCAGGGTCAGTATTTTTTCTACAGCAAAGAAATCAAAAACTGAAAACAGTGCTGTAAACGAGAAAGAATTTTCGATGGATAAGTTATAAAAAAAAATATATACTAAAACATCCAACCATATTAAGTTAATGTCTGTAAGGTAAATTTTTGTATGCATACTTTTGTTATGTTCTGGTAGTGTTAGTTTATTTATACACAAGTCTTTCTCAAATTAATGGGATAATGACAAAGAATCAACAAAAGATTTCAGTCTTGTCAAAAATTGTGCCCAAAAATTTTGTATTCACTAATGCCAATATTTCCTCCAATCATGAGATAAAAATATTACGTTTTTATTTCAAAAGACCTGGACCGTTAACTTTTAAACAACATAAAATAAAAATTCCTTATAAGGATCTTTATCTGTCATTTTATACAAATTTTTACAATTTACAAGTAGAGTTGCTGAGTGAAATAGAGTAGTTTTACATAGCATTAGTAATAGTAGGCCTATAAGCTGTAGTATAAACTGAAATACAAATTTCTAATCATTGCTGGTGGAACTATCATCAAGCACCATTACAGATATATAATTACTAACTTTTAAAAAATTTAAGTGGAAGATATTAATAAATGTGCCAATGAGCAAAGTAAAAAAACAGTAGTTCATGGGATATGGTCTATCAAGGTTATCTCTTCCAACTACCAAAGCCAAAAAAGCCCCCAAAGCATCAATAAATCAACCACAAAGTTCTGATAAATATGTGTTACAGCATAATATTAACAAATATTATTATTAGCAAAATTGCAACACAATACCACAATCTCGGAAGCATTTTAAGTTAAATATTAACTTGTACCTTAGTTACAGTAAATATTTTACGTATTTTAATAATCATATAAAACATAACAAAAAATCGTTAAAATTTGAACAATTTATTATTTTATAATACAAGTCATGATAATACCTAAATCATGGACTCCTATCACCTGGTTGGTTCCAACAGAATTTTGTTGAAAATCTGGAGGTAATACAGCTTACTTTGTACTTTTTAAATTTAGTAAAACTTAGAAATAGAAGTTAAACTTATACAGTTAAAGCTGATTGATAGGGACGTTAGGCTTAGTCACATCTAATATTATTTAGAATTTTAAACATAATAAACTACAGTATATGTGACAACTGATACTTCTCGTTACTTTGAAAACTGTCCTACAACTAGTACAGAATTTTCGATGTATGGACTCAAATTTCAAAGTCAGGAAAAGGGTGTTTTTTATGACGATGACGTAGTCACGTACAAACTTGCTTCGCAATGGACGACTAATACTAATAATATACCTAGTCATAGACTATACCCTTCTAGAACAGCAGAGCAGACGATACCACTACTTATCAACTACGTCACTTTTGAGATTTATTAAACGCTAAACTCATTTTTTAAGGTAATCTCAGGTCAGGGTGAATGATAAGATATATTATCTTTTATGTATTACATCATTTTCACCGATATGTACAATACTCCGTCTAGTTATTAAATTAATAACTTTTGAATATTAATTACCATTGGTGAAGTTTGTAGTTATTGTGTGTCACGTTATTTAACACATTATCAGCGTTTTACATCTGGCAAAACCAATTAAGAGATTCTGCGGTCAAGTTTAATACTTCCACAAAATATCTTTCAGTTTCACATAACTTTAGCATACAGATATATAGATTTATTCACAATTAACTACTTATATATGTGGTTATGTGTGGAATTTTTGCAAATACATGTAAGTATGTAAATATACATATTAAATAAAACAACTTATTAAAGTATAATCTAAATTTAACAGGAGATCTTGCACACTAGACATTACGTATAATAATGGAATAAGTAACTGGAAGCATATGGTAATTTCAACGCATGAAAGTGTGACGAGCAACCATACCACGATCAAAAAGGCGAGCAACATCGTTACTAGCCGAGTATATTACTCTGGCAACCATTTTAAAGTAACTAAAAGTGTGAAAATTTTAAAGAAATCGAAGACTGAACAGTTTATAATTAAATTGAAATACAAATTTAATTAAGGTATTTGATGAAAAAGATGGTATTAAGAGACTATCAAGTAAGTAAAAAGTAATTGTTACGTCTCCGTTTGTTAATTAATTTTCCGTAACTTCGTTCCGACGAAACTTTAGCGACACAAGTCTTTACTTAATTAAACTGGTTTATTCTTTCCGAATATAACTTTACGATACACTTAATTTCAACATTCGCGCTAAAACAAACACTATAACGAACAAACGTTAACTTCAACAATACCTTGTGACTGCAGATCAATTATTCACTACCTACACACACATTATCATTGTCCCGTCACGTTGTCACCCTCTTATATATACCAGACTACCCTATATCTAGTAATCTCCCGACACTTCCCGAAGGTTCGAGAGAACGAGTCACGTGACCTCGCTGACGTAACACTGTCCCTCCTTAGTATTGTTCGTCCCGAACAATAGCCACTTACAATAAACCAATAACAATTAACAATAACTTAATTAAATGTACAGAATTACAATCACAAAATTACAATTCAATAAAGTCTCTTAATTTTACGGGACGTATCTTCTTCCGTACTGATCTCCGTCTTGTTGGCTTCTGCTTCACGTGGGGTTCATCTGCTTCATCAGTAAATGTCTTTTCGTCAGTAACAGTCACATCAGTGGTAGTAACTTCATCAAGAGCTTCACCGTTTCCCTTCTCAAAACTGAGTAGAGTTTCTTCTTCGACGGTGGCTTCTTCAGGTGGCACGTCTTCAGCAGCGTCATTTGTTCTGTTGTCCACTTCGTACCAACTGAAATGTACTGGACCATGTTAACGCCAAAG